CGCTGAGCGCTCCCTCCTGTCAGCCTCTCCTCAGGCTGAGCCCGGGCGGTGCGGTCCGCCCTCATGGACGCACTGCCCGGGCAAAGCTGCAGCCGCCTGAGGCTCAATACAGAGCGCTCGGGCGGCTGCAGCATGGGGGGGCGGCGGGGCTGGCCATGGCACCCCCCACCCGGCTGGCACCCGGGGTGGACCGCCCCCCCCGCCCCGCCCTTAGTACGCCACTGGATGGAAGACCTTATTGACTTCTCCTGGGAAGACACTCAGCTGGCAGGTGGAGATAGGACCGAGGTCTCTCTACCGGCACTAAAGGGATGCTGGGCTGTCGGCCCAGATCCCCAGCGGCAGTATGTATCCCAGGGAGCTGAAGGTGCCGTCCTTCCTCCCCAGCGGCAGTGTGTGTCCTTAAGAGAGGAAACAGTTGGTCCCTCTCCCCAGCAGTCCAGTGAATTACAGGGAGACAAAGTTTCTGTCTTTCCTCCCCAGCGGCAGTATGAGTTCTTGGGAGAGGAGACAGTCGGTCCCTCTCCCCAGCAGTCAAGCGAGTCCCAGGGAGCCGAAGGTGCCATCCTTCCTCCCCAGCAGCAGTGTGTCCGGCAGGGAGCAGAGACAATCGGTCTCGCTCCCCAGCAGCGGGACAATATATTGAAAGGGGAGACAGTCCCTCTCCAACAGCAGAGAGAGTGTCAGGGAGAGGAGCTGCTTATCCCCTCTCCCCAGCAGCTGAAAGTATATATGGGAGAGGAGCTTGTTACCCTCTCTCCCCAGCGGCAGCTTAGCCCACCAAGGGGAGACAGTAAGCTCCACAACAGTGCAGATAGGACAGTGGTCTCTGCATATGCACCACCGGGGGTAGGGACAGTCGGTCCTGTCCCCCAGCAGCAGGGCTGTGTGTCCAAAGGGGAGACAGTTGGTCTCCCCCTCCAGCAGCAGCCCCAGATCCCGAGAGAGGAGCCTACCAACTCTTCTTTTCAGCATGGCTCCAACCAGGCTACTCCTGTGGTAGCACTGGCACCAGGGCAGAGTACCGCGGGTCTCTGCCCGCTCAGCAACCCACCAAGGCAGCTTATCAGTACCCCACACAGCCATGGTGAGGCACCTGGACATGGACGAGCTAATCTTTTACCCAGGTGTAGTAACCATGTATTGTGGGTGGTCTCTAGTTGTTTGTGCTTCGTGGTTGGGTTGCTGGACTAACCAGGGCACTGACCGGCAAGAGTTTAGATACCCTGTTAGTCTGTTTGGAAAAGGGGAGAAATGTGGAGGAACCAGCCTCGCCACTGGGCATTGGAGAAGACTGATTGCCAGCCTCCTGCCATGTGACTATGGCCCCTGGGATGTATTGCCTGCTCTCCTGTACTGCTGAGGATTGCTACCAACTAGGTGGATTTGGCTATGGAGCTTGTGTAGTGCCCTCTGTTGGTAGCAACAGTAATATGCACTACCTGAATAGCAAGACTGGTAATTTGCATATTCGGGTAGATTTGCATATCGCTAATTCTGCATGCAGGAGAGACATTTTTTTGTTAATTATGGTCTTCCCCACCTGTGACGGAACGCTGGCACTCCGACTGAGTACCTCCGCCAATCGATGCTCCTAGTGCTGCTGAGGACTCCAAGCACTCCAACCGACACCATCAGCACTGCAGACCCCACTTCCAGCGATGCAACTGCGCCGGGGTCTCTGCTGTCTCCACCCACCCTGGACCCAAGGCCAGGATCCAGCTTCCAGTGGGTGAACCTCTCTTTCCCCAGAGAGCAGGAACAGGAACAGGAACAAGCTCTTAGCAGAATTTAGTGATCATACCCTGGGGAGTATAGTGATTATAGCAATCCCCAGAGTGTATTTCTCCAATCCCCCAAACATGAGCCAAGACTTAATGCTGGAACAAGACTGATTTACTGGCACACAGAACTCACAATTTATGCAACACAAAACTCCTCCTCTGGGCCAGGCTAGATAATTGAGTTTCTACAATACACAAAGCTCAATTATCTGCTGGCCAGAAATTATACAGTTTCATAAAACACACAGGGACCCCCAAAACATGCAATAACCCCATAAAAAGTATATCATTGGAACTGGGGGATCTGGGTGAACCACATATCCAAAATTCACCCAGATCCATTCAGTACTTTGGAAAATACAGTTTAATGCAGATTCTGCAGAACATATACAGGCTAAATGAAAAACAATCACTTTATAATGTGTCCCCTGCTGTATAGTCCAAAACCACTGCACGATGTCTCTGTGCACCAAATACTGGCGAGATGGCACCGTGTTGAAAAGTCCAAACAGTGTCTGTGAGTTAAAATGGCTGCCATCCATTGTTCTCACCATGTGCGTCATCCATTGTTCTCACCATGTGCCTCTGATACAGGAAATGGTAGCCACCCAGTAACTCCACAGTATGTCCCCAGATGGTTCTTAAAGGGCCAGCAGCAGCACAACACAAATCCATTATGCCCAAATCATGTCTTTTAAGGGCAATACATCCCAGGGGCCATAGTCACAGGGCAAGAGGCGGGCAAGCAGTCCTCTCCAGGCACAAGTGGCGAAGGGCACTTCGTCACACATCTTCCCTTTGGGGGGAAGACTAAACAGGTACCTGACCTTCTGCCGGTCAGTACCTAGATTAGTCGGGCAGCCCACCCACAAAGAAAAATACGCAGAGTAACCCCCCCACAGTAAATGGTACTGGCCTGTAGGTTCACGTTTGTAGTGGGACAGCGCAGCACTCTCGGTCTCCCTGGTGCAGCTAGGCAAACTGCTGGTGTTGCTTGGGGGGCAGAGGCCAGCGGTGCTCTGCCCTGCTGCCAGCTCTTCCACTGGGGTAACCCGTGGTAAGTCAGGCTCTGATACAGGAGAAAAGGGGGGGCAGAGGCTAACAAAGCTCTTCCCAGATGCCAGCTCTTCTGCTGGGAGGGGGTCAGTGGGTATCGCAGGCTCATCCACTGCCCCCAGGACCCGGTTGGGATGTAGCTGGGGAGGGGAAGTTTTGCTTACCTCCTCCTCCTGGCATCCCTGCGAGGTTGGTTGGGGATCTGGACCGCCCGTCCAGCCTCCCTGTAGGACTGGCACAGAGACCGCAGTCCCATCTGCGCCAGTGTGGTTAGGTTTGTCTTCCCCCTCTCCCAGTATCTCTGGCTGCTGTTGGAGGGGGAGGCTGGTTGCCCCCACTCCCCAGGACGCTGGTTGCTGTAAGGTGGAGGGATTGACCATCACCTCCTCCTGGAACTCAGGCCACCGCTGGGGAGAGAGACCAGTTGTCTCCTCTCCCTGTATATTATACTGCCGCTGGGGACCTAGGCTGACTGCCCAGCATCCCTGTAGGGCCGGCAGAGGGACTTCGGCCCCATCTCCGCTTGCCATCTCTGTGTGTCCCCAGGACAAGTCTATGAGGTCGCCCACCTCCGGCTGCTGTTGGAGAGGGAGGCCGGTTGCCTCCCCTCCCCAGGACACTGGTTGCTGTACGGGGGAGGGATCTACCATCACCTCCTCCTGGAACTCAGGCCGCCGCTGGGGAGAGAGACCGGTTGTCTCTTCCCTCTGTACAGTGCACTGCCGCTGGGATGGGAGGTCGCTGCTCTCCTCTCCCTGTAACTCACTCTGTCGCTGGAGACGGGGTGTCAATACCCCCAAACTCCACAGTTGGTACTCGTAGTTCCGTGCGTCTTGGTTCTCAGCACTCAACAGGCACATCACTTGATGGACCACCTCATCTGAAGGGTTTGGGCCAAACCAGACCAGCCGCGCCTTTACTTCCTTCATGAAATCAGCACCCTCATAGCACTGTGACAGGCGGATTTGCAATTCACTGGCTGCTGTCCAGGGTCTTGCTAGCTCCATGTTGCTGTAGGTAGGGACGCTGCGCAGAGGCTTGCGTTGCCCTCAATTATAAATCCGTAACTTCACACGTTACCGGTGTCTCCGAGCTGCTGGTCCTCGCACTAGGACGCCATCCCGCTGCCACCAAATGTGACGGAACGCTGGCACTCCGACTGAGTACCTCCGCCAATCGATGCTCCTAGTGCTCGCTGAGGACTCCAAGCACTCCAACCGACACCATCAGCACTGCAGACCCCACTTCCAGCTATGCAACTGCGCCGGGGTCTCTGCTGTCTCCACCCACCCTGGACCCAAGGCCAGGATCCAGCTTTCAGTGGGTGAACCTCTCTTTCCCCAGAGAGCAAGAACAGGAACAAGCTCTTAGCAGAACTTAGTGATCATACCCTGGGGAGTATAGTGATTATAGCAATCCCCAGAGTGTATTTCCCCAATCCCCCAAACATGAGCCAAGGCTTAATGCTGGAACAAGACTGATTTACTGGCACACAGAACTCACAATTTATGCAACACAAAACTCCTCCTCTGGGCCAGGCTAGATAATTGAGTTTCTACAATACACAAAGCTCAATTATCTGCTGGCCAGAAATAATACAGTTTCATAAAACACGCAGGGACCCCAAAACATGCAATAACCCCATAAAAAGTATATCCTTGGAACCGGGGGATCTGGGTGAACCACATATCCAAAATTAACCCAGATCCGTTCAGTACTTTGGAAAATACAGTTTAATGCAGATTCTGCAGAACATATACAGGCTAAATAAAAACAATCACTGTATAATGTGTCCCCTGCTGTATAGTCCAAAACCACTGCACGATGTCTCTGTGCACCAAATACTGGCGAGATGGCACCGTGTTGAAAAGTCCAACAGTGTCTGTGAGTTAAAATGGCCGCCATCCATTGTTCTCACCATGTGCTTCTGATACAGGAAATGGTGGCCACCCAGTAACTCCACAGTATGTCCCCAGATGGCTCTTAAAGGGCCAGCAGCACAACAGAAATCCATTATGCCCAAATCATGTCTTTAAAGGGCAATACATCCCAGGGGCCATAGTCACAGGGCAAGAGGCGGGCAAGCAGTCCTCTCCAGGCACAAGTGGCGAAGGGCACTTCGTCACACCACCCATTTATAAATATGTAATTATGCTATAATAAGTCACTGTATGTTGCCTGCTATGATTTGACTGTTTGTAATTTTATTGAGTATTCACAGCAATGTTAATATAATTACCATATGGGCTAGTCCTAAGTAAAATAAAGTTTTAGACAGTTCTACTTCACCCTCAATTTGGAGTCCTGTCTCTTATTGGGGGAATCTGTTACAAGGGAATCTGCTACAATCTATGCTCTGCATATTCCCTTGCTATAATCACTCCTAAGCTCTTTTAAGAGCTAGTTCCTGCTTTGCTCTGAAGGAAGAGAGGGTTGGCCTGCGGTGGTTGTGGTGTCTGCTAGAGTGC